TTTTCAAATTACAATTCACAATTTCAATGGGAGAAATTAGGTTTAAGTAATCGATTTCATAGCAAGGGAAGTTGCACGTTTTATAAATTTTGTTTTGGTGTGGTAGAAACTACTGATACATTATCATTAAATATGTTGCTTTTGTATCAACTATAGATCCCCTGTTACATAATATTCTTCTGCGACTCTCCAATATAATGTTTAATATTGGATGATTTTGAATCTTTACAATTTTGGATAAGAATTTCAGGGTCAAATTTTTCCTTCTTTGTCCTAAATTTACAATTGAGGCCTCAGCCAAAAGCGCGGCTTTAGGGGGTAGACTTCATACACCCAAGACATACACGTAAACCCTCATAAAAAATTATGTCCATTTTGTTTAAATCACTTTGACTAACCGGGTGAAGTAAGATCGATCCAAAATCTAAATGTGATACCACGAGTGCTTGAAAAATTGTTAATAATGTGACTGGATCTGCGCCCCACCAGACCCTACTAATGGCCTTTAGTATGTTTATAGCTTTTTTTGCTTTGTTTGAAATTTATTCTATATGAACTGACCATTTGAGATGTCTGTGAAACATAACACCCAAATACCTAACTGTGTTTTTATACTCTATCTCCTGCTCATTAATCATGATCGGAGGGGGAATAACATTCCTCCTGCCCTTTGTGAACCACATAGCTTTACACTTATTAAGATAAAGGTAATTCTATATTCCTTAGGTAATCGTTTACTGTCTGTAGAGCAGCAGTCATGACTGACACCATATTATCTATATCTTTTCCTTCCAAAATCAAAGCCAAGTCATCTGCATAACCTATTATTTGAACTTCCCCCAAATTCAATTTAAATAAGTCCTCAATATATAAATTAAAAAGAGTCGCGCTAAGCGGAGAGCCCTGAGATAAACCATTTGTGACCAGTATAGGGTCCAGAAACTCTCCATTACTTCCTCTGGTGTACAAGGATCTATTACGTAGTATTTTATGTATCAGATTGTCTAATTCTATAGGTAAATTTAGTTTAATCATTTTATTGTACAATTTAAAAATATTTACATTATCATAGGCTGCTTTAACATCTAAGAAAACTGTTAGAACTGAATCTGATCTAAGGAATGCATTAAATATGAAGGATGACAAGTGAGCTACATTATCATAGATTCCCTTACCCTTCCTAAAACCCCACTGTTTAATGTTTAAAAGATTTCTATTTTCTATCACCCAATCTACCCTATTTTTTATCATGATTTCTAATGTTTTACAACCACAAGATGCTAACACAATTGGTTATAGTTGTCTGCCACCTTTGGATCTTTGTTAGGTTTAGGAAAACAAATCATATTAAATTTTTTCCAAGATTTTGGTAATTCATCTCCTGCCAAAAAATTATTGTAACAATTAAGAAGGGTTTGCTTGGCCCTGAAAAGAAGATTTTTGAGCATAATGTATGCTATGTCGTCGATGCCTGCAGCTGACATTTTTTTATTGTACAAGGCTGAATTAAGTTCGTGCAAATTAAAAGGTTCTAAGCTATCATCTGATGCAGGTTGACACATTTGAAAGGTCAGGTCAATGTTGACTTTTGCCATTTTTAAGAGAATATTTTTTTTGATATTATCATCAATAATAAACTCCCTAGTTTTATTCTTTGTAATATTTGAAATTTTTTAAATTTTATTCCATATATAAGTTATGTCAGATTTCCTATTTAACGTATGACAAAAAGCAATGAATCTTGCCCTTTTTTTTAAACGTAAATTTTTTCTTGTTATTGCTATACTTCTTTTTGCTTTAATAAAATTATCTAATGAAGGTGAGTTGTTAAAAATAGAAATAGATTCCTTTCTGTCTTTAATCCAAGAAGAGCATTCCTCGTCCCACCAAGGGTTGTTACATTTACCTGGCATTCCACAAAGTCTTTTTTTAATTGATACATCAGCCGCACCATTCATTATGTCCATCAATTCATTATAATTTATATTTTCTACCTGTATATCAAGCTGATTTTGTATCCTATCAGAAAATAGCGCCCAATCCGCCTTTTTAAAATTTCTTAATTGGTAGGAATTTGTATAAATTTTCTTAAAATTTTCACTATTGTTACTTTGAAAAATTAGAGACGTAGGAAAATGATCACTGTTTCTGCAATCCATAATTGTGTTCCAAGAAGCATACATAGCCAGACAACTACTTACTATAGTGAGATCAACAGCACTGTTTAAATTATTAGGATTCTGCCACCTGGTGGTCAAACCATTATTCATAATAATCAAGTCGTTGTTCCATATAAAATCGCTAATGTATTTCCCACCATTGTTGGCAGGCATCCTATCCCAAAGAGGATGATTAGAATTCAGATCCCCCATGATTATGATTTTCTGATTAGTAAAGTCTTCTATAAGTGAATCGAGAAAATTTAAGTCGAAAGCAGTATTCAAATTACTATATATATTGATTATATTCAAATCTCCAATTTTAGAAATAATATATTGAATTGAATCTGAAGAAAATTTTTTAGTTGTGAAAAAAATTATGTTGTCTTTGACACATGTTGCCACTCCTCCATAACCGTCATTTCTATCCTGCCTAGTAATATTGAAAGATTTTAAAGAAAAAGTTTGATTTGAATTGAGCCAAGTTTCGTTGAGCAGAATCACATCTGGATCTTCTTCCGTTATAAGATTAATTAGGTTATCTCTATTAGATCTGACACTTCGAATATTCCATTGAATTATTTTCAAATTTGTCCCATTATTCATAGTTTATTATTTGTACTTATACTATAGAAAAAAAAAATAAAAAATAAAAAATAAAAACGAAAATAATCATAACAGAAGCTGCGATTATAATGAGTCCGAATTCTTTGATAAGTTTAACCTGAATCTGAGGATTGATCTAAATCCATAGTGGATTGAGGTCTACACTCAGTCAGGAGCAGTTCCCTACAAATATTTTTATTATTATCCGACGTATTTCTAAGATAGTTGATTACAGATTGTAAATCAAAAAGTTTAAATGAATGATTAAAATGGTTTGCTGAATTTGCACTAGTAGAAGGCATTTCTTCAATTCTTCGTTGAGTAAAATTTGAAGTAGGAGATAGAGTCTGAGATGAGGGTAAGATTTGTTTTTCAGGTCTAGAATTGGGTGAAAGAAGATTTTCATTATGAGCTTTACGATCATAACCTTTCTGTATTATCCTTTTTTTGGTAGTGTCTGAAGACGCCACCTGTTGAAAAGATCTTTTAATGGTGTTTGTTCTAAAGGATTGAGTTCTTCTTTCATTGGGCTCAATAAGTGTCTCAGAAATATTTTTATAATTATTCATTGACTTATTACCCCTCTTTAGCTCGGGAAAATCGCTGGGGCTATATATATAATCCCCTTTTGTTATATAATTTTTTCTGCAAATATCATTGGCTTCGAAAAAGGTTACGTTTTCAAAGGCCATAAGTTATTTTATATTTTTTTGCCTAATATATTCGGGACATCTTTTGTAATTAGATTTATGATTGTCTTTACAGAAAAAGCAACAAGGTTCGCAGGAGGGTTCCTCATTTTCTTGCATATGAATTTCTCCTGAGCAACTAAAACATTTTTCTTTTCCCTTGCAATTGTTACGTGTATGCCCATATCTTAGACAACGATAACACTGTGTGACAGGCGGAATATAAATTTCGATTGGGTATTCTAGATAGAAAAATTTAACATAACGGGGCAGTCTAACCCTCCTGAAGGTAAAAAGCACCGTACTTGTAGGCTCATAGGAGACCGTTTTGTCTTTAAATACTTTTCTGTTTAGTCTCTTAACATTAACTATTTTAATTTTATCATAAGTCTCACAAGCGCTCAACAATTCATCTTCAGTTAAATCTAAATCTACTTTTCTGGCCAAGCCTTTTGATGTGACAAAATTAAAGGGGATATATATTTTGTAACCTTTGTCTAAAAGGGTTTTATTATTTATAAATGAATTTGCGGCATTGCATGTAATAAACTGAATCGAAATTCATGACCTTCCATTGCCGGTTCTCTCAAGCGCACTGGTGCAAAGGTCAATTATTTATGAGGGAAGAAAAATATTCAACCACCTTCCCGTCGTGATCAGAAACGCGCGGGGCTTGAAGCATTTTAGAAAAATTCTCAAGACGTTTCTCATCGAAAAGGCCTACTACAGAACTGAGGAATATTTTAATGATGACACCATTTAGTGCTCTGGTGCTTTTTGTGGCTGATGGTGCTTGTATAATTTGCATATTTTTGTTTGTTTGTTTTTTTTTTAATGTTTTTTTTTGTGTGTGTTTATTCGACGGTTTCTTACCTATTTATGACTTACCTATTTATTGTTATTCACCTAGAATTAGTCTGCTTTGTCCGCAAAAATGTTTATTTTTTTTTTGACAATAAAGCACATTTGATTTGATTTGATTTGATTTGATATTCAAGCCTTTATTGGAAACCTTCAATACGTCGGTCAAATTAAGATTAAAAATGTCTCTAGCTATTTTAATGTTATTGGATTTGCCAATTGCAAAATCCGACTTTTTCGGTCGTTTCTCAATATACAATAAAGGGACCTTTATCTGTAGGCTCATAAAAAAGGTTATTTTTATTCAAATCAATTTGCGATTGAGGAATGTTGTTTTCTTTTTTATTCAATGGAATGTCAGAACATTGGTCAGAATTAATGGATAGGGGGGTCACCCATTTCTCTTTACAACCCCTCTTGAGGTCAATCAAGCAAAAAATGAAAATAAATTATAAGCAGTGAAATGAAAAAAGCTGATTATACTTGCTCAACTTACCGATTAAACGCGAACACACACAAGTTAGTAAGAATGCCCAAGGTCGTGTATTCTCAAAAACTTAAGCAAAACGCTGCGACTATAGACTGATATCTTTTGATAGAAATCAGACGAAGAGTTGAGGTTTTCAATGTTGTACTCCGATTTTTTTTACATAATAATATATTATACATCCCCATTAAAACTTACATATCAAAGTCAAGCTCTTCCAAGGCGTCCATATTCAGGTTTAGACCGCGTTCAATGCCTGCGGCCTGGGACTCCTGAGTTGATGTCGAATGTTCGTTACTCATTATAAATTGTTAAAAATCTTTGATTAAAATTGCACTGATCCTTTGGTATTCTCTACCCATAAATTACTCCTACATTCCTACGTCTTCTTTGTGATTCCTGCTGACGGTTGGTTTGGTTTGCACTTTGCTTTGCTCGGGGACTGAGGAGTACGAGGACACTGGTAATACTGGTATATTTGAAAATTTAACTGTCGAAAAAAATGAACAATCTCGACAATCAACCGTCTTTTAAGTCAGCAATATGTCATAGTTGAATATTTTGACACTTGTCAGTTGGGTGTGTTCACTAGTTGTATTCCTTTCACACCTAGGACGAGCTCCGGGGCGTTACGCTTTTATTCCTTTCGAAAAGTGTTTGTTGCACCTGAGTGTTGAAGCGCGACTCAAACCATTTAGATGCATGAAAGCCATTGCATCTGTTCCTTTCAAATCGGAGTCGACTAACACCGGAGCGAGTAGCTCTAGTGTTTCAAGCTCTTGAAAGGAATACAACTATTCAGTGCACTCAAAACTCGTTCGAAGAACAGATGACAGGCGTGGTGTTTCGATGTTGTACTTAAATTTCGGTGTTCGGGGTAATGTTCAAGTCTGTACGATGCTGTTGTTTTCAACATGATTGGTAACCATTCCTAAACCAAACTAATTTATATGCGATTTTATGTTCGCGAATAGCAGTCCAACTAATATGTAAAATAGCTCTAGTGCAGTTCGAACCGACACCAAAGTGTCGGTTCGTTCCAAAGAACGAGTGCCAAATGAATGTTACACTGGAACTGTACTAGAGTAACCAGTTCGAGTGCCAGTGCAATTTGAGGAGCCTATTCATTAGAAAACGATATCAGTAGTTTTATTTGTCAGTTGTCATTCACCACAATTCAATTGTCTCAATTTGTCTCCGATCTCCGCCATTTTATTTGTTTTCCGGCTTGGCATTTTCCAAGTCAGGATAATTTTCCACCTTTTTTCCATTGACCTCCTCAGAAAATAAAACGTTAAAATAACTCTTCGTGTCTGGTAAAACCAAAAAAACACTTAGAAATAAATAAAGGGTCTGGAAATAGAACTGACTGCTTGGTGCTTTGTCGGAATTTTCTACAAGAAAATTTCACTCTCCAAAGCCTCAAACTATTCCTATTAGAAATCAACAAAACGCAAGGTAAGCGTCCAGCTTTATGAACAGTTATATTTCGTTCTATATAAATTAATCAACAATTAATCCTAAAACAAATATTTTGCAGACAGAATGTCAGATTCAGAATCCAATGACGACGGGTACGTCGTAAAATTGCGGGGCCTGCCTTGGTCAGCTACCGTCGACGATATTTTAAAGTTTTTAGGAGATATTGGAGTCGATAAGGTCCATCTTACTCTCAGCAAAGAGGGCCGGCCCAGTGGTGAAGCTTTTGTCGAACTTGAAACTGAAGAAGATTTAATGAGGGCTGAAGAAAAAGATAAAAAGCATATGGGGTCTCGTTACATTGAAGGTAATTTGTTTATTTTCAATAGATTAATGTTTGCTTTAAACTTATTATTGGTTTTATAGTGTTTAAAGTTAATCGTGCTGAAATGGATTGGGTGGTTAAAAGATCCGGCGCTTCTTATGATGGGAATGATGATGGTTGCGTACGTCTTAGAGGATTGCCCTTTGGGTGCTCTAAAGAGGAAATTGCCCAATTCTTTACAGGTAATATTTTATTTTCAGGAGATAGTTTAGGTAAAAAGTTGAAAGCAATCTTATCAGAATTTTAAGCCTTAAAAGCAACATACTTAATCTCAAAAAAAAACAATCATTTTATACTACGTATTTTTGCTTTTAGGCTTGAACTTTTTGAATAGAAAAATATTACTGGTATAGTTTGTTTGATATTGCAAAATAAGGAACCTCTATATCATTGCAACTTGCAACCAAATAATTTACTTTTGTGTTGTCAACAAGGTTGTCAACATTTGTTTATGAATTTCATTTTTAATAATAATCAACTGTTTGTGTTCCTTATTTTGATAATCTCGCCACAGGATCTAGTCTTTAAATTGCTAAAAAAATGTAGTTCAAAATGCTTTACAACCTTTTTCTTGTTTGAATCAGCTTTGAAAGAACAGATTCTGTTTAAAAAGTAATTTCCATTTCGACTTGGTCTATTATTGCACAAAATAAGGCTTTTATTAAGATAGGTAATCCCATAAAACAATCAAGTTATATTTTATAATTTCAACAAGATATGTGCTTAGAGCTCCAGGGGGCAATGGGCAATTTATTTGTAGCGTGGTCAGTGGTGTGTAAAAAATAAAAGTATTTTCCTTGGTATTTTCTATAATATTTTTGAATACCTAATTTTATGAACAATTGTCCAAGTGTAGATAGTGCTCTATTTTGGCTTTTTCTCTTGAACATTGTCCAAAATTGCATTTCAGAACCACTAAATGGTTTAAATTTTTCCTAAAACTGCTTCCATTTAGCGTTTGTCTTGAAATATCTTAAAGAGAAAATTTCTAAAATGAGTATTAAATTGCATCTTAAGGATATTTTTAGCAATTTTTCACTTATTTTCATTCATAGCCCTTCCTAAGTTGACATAAAGTAAGCATTTAACCAAAAAACAACCTAAATTAAAGTTTATAGTCATACAGATCATTTTGTCTTGGTCCAAAATTACATTAATAACCACAAAATGGTCCAAATTTGTCCCGAAAGTGCTTTTTTTGTAGACTTTCTTCTTGAAATATTGAGAGAAAGAATCCAAAATGAGTGCAAAATTGTATTTTAACGTTTTCTGCGTTTTTTCACTTCTTCCTAATCAAAATTCATCCAAAGTGGACTTAAAATATGAAAAAAGCAATCCAAATTGGAGCTTCTAGTACCTAGTACTTTTGTTTCAATATTGTATTGAATTGGCTAAACACTAATTCGAATTACCTATGAAACCTTGGATTTTTTTTTTGTCCAAAAAATGCTTCTTTTTCGCTTGCCATTTTTGGAAAAAATCCCCTGCAACCCTTGAAAATCTTTCCGCAGTTCCTAAATTCTGCAATCTTGTGACATTTTTCTACTAGTGAGTGACTTGACTTTCGGCTCAAAATTTCAATAAAAACCGCAAAATGATCTAAATTTGTGCTTGCGATTTTTCCCGCTAGACAAATTTGAACATTGAATACATAAGAATTCATGAAAGGAATACATGAGAATACAACGGAAGTAAGATTTATACAGAAGAAAAGTACCATTTTTTTGTAATGACTGCTTAAAAGAAAAATCAGGGACACTTGTTAAAAGAGTAGAAAAATTAAGCTTTGATAACAGCAATTTGAAAATTGAGATGGAAAAAGTTATCAATCAACAACAAGAAGAAATTAGCGAAATAATTGAGAAAAATAAACTTCTTATTCAGGAAAAAAGAGATATGGAGGAATGTATGAAAAGGATTAGAAGCACTACTATGGATTTTGAGGATGAAGTCTTTGAAACGGAAGAATGCCTCAAAAGAGAGATCAACAAGCAGAAAGTTGAATTAAATAAGGTAAAGTACCCAGTTGTTGACAGGGTCCCAAAAGTTGACACATTAGCATATTATTAGGTTATAAGCTAACTGAAATAGCTTATAGTATTGTTGGAGCCATCTTTCAGGCTATAGCTGATGTATGGATTTGAAATGACAAGTTTTTTCAAAATTGTGGCAAGAAGTAGTGAACAGGTGCAAATGTTTGAATTTTTCTAGTGAAAATAGTTAAGGAGATATAAAAACAAAAATTCTCAAAGCCAAGGTAGGGTTGATAAATTATGAATAATATATATTTACTGTATAATAAGATACATTGTAATACATATTTATTATTGTTTTATATCTTAAACAACTGGCATAAACTTTTTAAGGGGGGGTCTCAACTATTGAAGCCCATATCGAGGGGTGATCCAAATGGATTTTTGGTGGTAAAAATATTTTAACATTGTAGTCTGTCTCTTTTTATTGCTCTGGATTAAAAATAAACCTAGATATGGGTTTGGGGAATGTTACGGTCGTAGATCCAATAGATGACACCCCTGTTACCCCTGTCAAGGTTTGGAGCTTTGGAGTGTCAACAATTGGTCCTTTCAGGTTTAAATCAAGAGATGACGCATGAAAAATGGAAATTGCTGAAATATGCACCAGAACTACCAGAAGACGTGATTGCTGCGTTGGATGATTGCGATAGGGGGCTCACTGCAGCTACAGCAGCAAAAAAACACAATGTGCCAATGCTTTCCAAGCAATTTCTTTTATTACCAATTTGGAATTGAAATTTGTATTTTTTTTCCCAACAAAAAGTTTCCCAATGTTATTTTTTATTAATAAAAAGTTTTATTCTTACATTATTGATGTTTCTACCAGGGTTTCTACTGATACAGGCAACATGTCAACTATTGGTTTCAAGAGTGTCAAGTAATGGAACCACAACATGTACTTTAAAAAAATTAAAATAACTGGTTATTATGCGCATATATTTTATTTAAAAAATTGTACACTTAGAAAAATATACTTCTTAGTTCCACAGACCGTGATAAAATTTCTTAAAAGTAAAAATTTGGTTATGTAAAAAAATATATGTCAACCTTTGGATCAAAAATGTGTCAACTTTTGGCGCAGTGAACTTTTTTGGGTGTCAACTATTGGGGTTTTATCGCCTTTCAGGTATTTTTGGCATAATAACACAAATAATAGTAATATAGAGTAAATAATATATCTACACATTTAATTATGAGTTTGAAATCACGCTAAAAAATATATCAAAGCCTTGGGATTGAAAATTTGGAAAATGTGTGGTATTCATAAGCAAGGATACCCTTAACATGTCAACAACTAGGTACTTTACCTTAATGTAAATAAAGAAATCTGGATTTGGGTTAAGAAATTAACAATTCACTAACTAGTAACCAAGAAACCAAAGAAAACAACAGAAAACTAGAGATGGACCTCCAAAACTTAATGGCACTTAATGACGAAATGTTAACCTCAATCAGAGCCCTAACCGAAGATAACAAAACTTATATGAATTACTACAAAAAAGCGCAAAAAGAGATCTTTCTAATGAGGACTAGCAACTTTCAGCAAAGAGAGACCGTTGATGTCAGTACACAGTATGATCCTACTATGATAGGAGTGAAGGGTTTGCAAAAGGCTATTGACAATAATGCTACACCACAATCAGAGCCCCCACCACTGATAACGCCACCAATATCTATGGAACCTGTTCAGCGTAAAGTTTTAATTGTATCTGACCAGTTTGGATATAACTTCGGATCAACAATACAGGACTATTTGCCAATTTTTTTTTGTAGAAACTTTCATAAAACCAAACGGTCGCTATGCAAATGTGATACAACATTTAGTACTCCATACAAGAGATTTTACATTGAATGACTCAATCATAGTTCTGGCTGGCTTTAACGATCTAAACAACAAGAAGTATCCTTTCGTCAAAAACATAAATAATATACAGGATGACACAAGAAATTGGGAACAACCTATAACTTTTTTAATATACAGTGTGTCCCGCTTAAGGACTGACCACCCTTCTGCGGCTTTACTGGTGTACAGGGTGTCCACATTTAAAGGCTAAAATTTCAATAAGTACTATTAGAATTTTTTTTAGAAAAAGTCTGATAGCAAATTCTTGTTTAGAATGGTCTAAAACCCAACTGTACTAATTTTTGTTTCAATACGATACAGGGTCATCACAATAAATTTTCAAAATTTAATGGACCAAACCTCAAAAATGTCATATTTTGAGGCCTCGAGAACAACAAAACTTGATGCAACATAGTTTTAGAACATCCTTAACCAAAACTTGTAGTAAGCTTGTCTCAAAATATGACATTTTTGCGATTTGATCCATGAAATTTTGAAAATTTGTTGTGACCACCCTGTATCGTATTGAAACAAAAATTAGTACATTTGGGTTTAAGGAGATTCTACACAAGAATTTGCTATCAGATTTTTTCTAAAAAATCCCTAATAGTACTTATTGAAATTTTGAGCCTATAAATGTGGACACCCTGTACACAAGTACAGTGTGATCTGTTATAAATGTCACCCCTTCAATTTTTTTCATTTGACATTTTTGACAAAAGTGTCAAATACAAAAGTTTCAATAAATTGTCGAAAGTTTCTAACTAAGTCAATTTTAGGCATACAGGGTGCGTCAAAAAAGTGTAGCAGTGTGAAGTTATTATATTCTTTTAAATGGAACAGCTTGTATAGTTCATACCAAATAAACTTGTAGTTGTGACATCGATGACGCCATTTTTAAAATCGTTATCGCCAACCGTGAAAATATTCGGCGTCGGATTGACTTAATTGGAATTTGAATTTCCCGCTGGCCATTCAGTTGGTAACAACACTTCAAAAAATGTAATGTTGCCAAATTAAATTCTTGACATTTTGAATTTTGATTGCGTTTTGACAGTTTACGAGTTTTTGGTTCAAGTGCTATTAATTGTGAGCTAGTTTTTCAAAGCAGCTTGTAGTGTGAAGTGTACAAGATGTCGAAGCAGCTTAATAGCCGTTGCAAAGAACTAATCGCATCCTTTTTACAATATTTTGAACGAGAACGCGATAATAATAGCCCTTAAATGCTGGTAGGTGGGTGTGATCAAATAGGAATTTTCAATTTGAACTTTATTTTCTCTCATTTTTAGCGCGTAGCAGAAGC